CTATCAGACACCCAGCTACCTCCCCATTCCTTTCCTTTCTTCCTCTCAGCCCCTTGTCTCCCCCCACCCCACTCCCGCCCCTCGGATCTCAACACCCACCTGGTCCCGTCGATGCCGGTCCAGCCAGCCAGGCACCCAGCAGCGGCGCGGGCCGAGCTGGGGGAGAACTGGGTGTCTCCGCCTCTGACCGCCGCCCCCTCTGCGCAGCAGGAGGAAGCCGCCTTCTTACTTCTCTTATTGCCCGGGTGGCGGCCGCGAGGGCTGCAGGCACGCCCCCGCCCCCCAGCCCGCTGCCCGCGGTGGGGTGGGGCCCTCGCTCCCAGACCCGCCCGCCCCGCTGCGCTCCCCCTTCTCGCTCTCCTGCGACACCCTAGTCTCCCCAAAGCCCCCACCCTAAGGAGAAGCTCTTCAGCCCAGCAGCGGCTTTCAGGTGAGGTCTGGTTGTTGTGGGAAAACTTGAGGGGTCCACAGGTTTGTCCCTAAGTTTCACAGCCAGTTGACCGCAGGTCGCTGTCGCCAGAGCCACTTTGGAGTACATGGCCGGTCCCCTTATGTGGCACTGGGTGTGGGCACTGGGGCAGGAATGGAGGAGGGTGGGCCCGGCCAGTGGCCCTTCCCTTAGACAACTGCTCCGCAGAGGAATCAGCCCTCCGCGGACACTGCCCCTGAGAGGGTGTGTCAGCCCCTTCCCCCAAGTGTGAAAAAACGAAACAAACCCGGGAAGATCCTTGCACCACAGTCCCTTGTTTCCCAAAGGTAGCGCCAATCGCCAATCCCTGGGAGAAGAAGGCCAGCGTGCTCCTTAGAGGCAAGGATGGCAAGGCTGCATCTTACACTCTGGACGTGTTGTCAGGAGAGACCCACCCGTACCTGGAGAAGGACATCTGCGAAGAGGAGGGGCGGTGACAAAGAGGAAGGTCCTCGGCGAGATGGACGACACGGTGGCTGCGTCGATGGGCCAGGCACAGGAACAAGGGTGAGGATGCGCGGGACCGGGCAATGCTTTGTAGGGTTGCTGTGTGTGGGAGCCGACTGCATGGCACCTCACAACAACCACAGCGGTCCCTGGGGGCGCAGTGTCTAAGCCCCTGAGGCACAGCTGGCAGGACGGAGGGGCGGTTTGTACCCACCCCAGGTCCTGTGCAGGAGAAAGGCGTAGCAGTGGTGGTCTGCTTCTGAAATGATTCCGAACCATCAAACTCACCCCAAGTGGAGTCAATCCTGACTCATAGTGACCTTGCAGGACAAAGTAGAATCTTTGGGTGTCTGAGACTGTGCATTTTCACAGGAGTAGAAAGCCTCATCTTTTTCCTGTGGAGTCGCTGATGGCTTTGAACTACTGATCTTCTAAGTGGGTGTGTGACTGTAGGCTTTGAATGGGATGGCTGCATTTTTGGAACCCATAACTGGGGCGTTTATGCAGACCCAAGGGGGTGTGCGGTGCCTCTAGGTAGGGCAGAGGTGTGGCTTCAGGTGTGTTCCAGTGTGTCTGTGGGTAGTAGAAAGGCAGGTACAAATGATTTTCCCTTTGGAAAATGGGAGGCACAAGGAGGAAGACGCAGGGGAGCCAGTTGACAGTGGGAGAGGGCTTTGGAAGGGTAGTCTCCCCTGGGCTGAGCAGCATCTTCTTCACCATTAAGCACCCCCTGGCTGGCATTGGCCTACACAGTCAATGAACATCTATCTTTGCCTGTCAGTTGCAGCCTTCAGGACACAGAGGAGAGAGGCTGCTTTCTGCCTCCTGGGGAACTCCCAGTGGTTCAGCATGGCAGTGTTCTCAGAGAAGGACTGGAGAGGGTGTAGACCAGACACTTCAACGGTGGTCTTGGGCATTTGGAAGACAGATTGCTGTGCACAGGATTAGATGGCATTGATGCACACCCTAGTTCAAGTCTTGGAAGGAGAACGCCTAATCCGAAAGCCGTAGAGCCAGTAACGAGTACAGAGATCAACTAGGAGTTGGGTGCTTTAAAAAGGGTGGGGCAATAAAAGGTAAGTAGTCTCCTGCAGGCAATGGGCATCCTTCTGGTCCAAGCTATTCTAGATCTATGGCAACAGAGACTAGCCTTCCTCCTTTGCCCCACTAAGAGTTCTGGGTTTCCTCAGAGGGCACTCATTTCCCCCTAAAGCATATACCCTACTATATGCCTATTACCTGCTAGGGAATTGGTGAAAGAGAGCATCCCTGGCTACCCAGCATATGCTAACTCGGTCTGCCTTCCAGGCCTGACACCCAGGGACCTCCTCAGAAGACCCTCCCAGATGGCTGCTTGGTGCACTGCTAGTTCCTGGAGTATAGGTGTGTGGGAGGGTGTTTTCCTTAAAGGGCAGGACTGGGTCTAGTTCTTAACAGTAACCCCACTGCCTGCATGTCTGCTGCCTCCACCCCCCAGGCCCTCCCTGACAGGGTCTGGCACAGAACAGCAGCTCTCAGGGCACAGAATGCAGGGATCATTGAAGGGACAAAGGCATTAACAGGCAAACAAATGAAAGCCCACTGAAAGAATAAGGGGAAGTATGCATTAAAGCGTGAGCGAACAAATTTCAGAATTGATGAATTGAAAAAAAAAGAACGGAAGAACAGCGTTGCTTCTGTTTTTGAAAAGATAACATGGATCGTGTTCATCGCTCATTTAAAACGCTCAAGTGGCTTCGCTCCCGTTCCCTCAGCATAAGAGAAATGAAATCATCAGAAGACACAATAGTCTGAACAACTTGCCATGGCCCCTGCCTGCCTCTACAGCCTCCTCTCACACCCTCTTCCTCTCCAGCCATGTTGAACCCTTTCCATTCCCAGAGCAGAGACACAGGCGGCAGCAACGTGCTCAAACGTAAACAGCGATGGTGAGGCTGGCGCAGGACCAGGCCCTATTTTGTTCTGTTGCCCGTGGGCTCAAAACCCACTGGAAGGAAGGCTCCTAACCACCACAACAGAATGTACGGATTTCTTGCCTCTGGACCTCCTCCCGTGCTGCTGTCCGGCCCTCCTCCTGAGACACCCTTCCTCTGCTCTTGGCTCTCTTTCACCTGCAGTGCCCCTTCCTCAGAGAAACCCTCCCTGCATCTACACACCTTGTGATCTGATGCCCCAGGCCTGCCGGAATTCGACCACTCACTTCGCTGAGAGTGGAGCAGGACCTCACCTGCCACACAGACAACGGAGTCCCAACTCCCAGCCTCAAAAAGACATTAACCAGACCGGCAATCCTCGGATATGTTTCTTAGCAAGTTGGCCCTCCATCTCTCCCTGATGACACACACACCCCACCCCCGCCTTCGGACTCCAGGTCTTCCCACCTTCTGGAGGGCTTCACACCTGCTGTAAGGCCAGCTCTGACGCCATCCATCTTCCCCTCTCCAGGGAATTACCCTCTCAGCATACAAACAAACATGTTCCAGAATCACTCATTCATTTAAAAGAAAACACAAAGCTGTCGTTTAATGTTAAGCATTTATCTTACTTTTTTTTTTTTTTACTTTTTTAAAGGAGGAATTGTAGTTCTTGCCTAGTGATGAGGGAAAACTCTTCTTTGTGGGGGAATACCAGCTAATAAGGATAGAAGAAGGTGAGGATTAGGAAAACGGAATCGATTGATTAGGGCAAGACTTGTCATGGACGCTACAGCTGTGAAAGGTTTTTAAAGACAGCACGTCCACACAGCGTTCAAGCTGCATTGCCGATCTTGCTATTTGCAGAGGACAAAGGAGAGATCTGGTGGCCATCCCTGAAGCAGTTCGGACACTGTCACTGTGCGCAATTCCTGCCACACGTGTTCAGCTGCCCTCTAATCAAGGTTCTGGACCAGGGGTCAGCAGGCGAAGGGTCAAATCCTGCCTGCTGCCTGTTTTTGCTCTTCAATGAGTTAGGTAGGAGTCTTGGGGGCACAGGGGGCTGTGCGCTGGGCTGCTCACCGAAAGGTCAGCCATTTGAAACCACCAACCACGCCGAGGGGGAAAGAGGCAGTTTTCTATTCCTGTAAAAGAATTACAGTCTCAGAATCCATAGGACCAGCTCTACCCAGTCTTACAGGCTGGCCAAGAGTCAGCATGGACCCCATGACAGTGCGTTTGCTAAGAATGGTTTAGAGACCTTTAAGAGGTTAAAGAGACCAAGGGAAGAACTTTTAGTGACTTGTGAAAATCAGGCTAAAGGAATAGTGTGGTGTCTGCATGTGCAGCTATATCAGGGTGCAGCACCCTCTGATTTCCGTGTGTGTGGTTGCTGTGTTCACGACTGACCGGGCTGGACAGTTGCAGTAGAGCCATATGGCCTACAAGACCAAAAAGTTACTCTCTGGTCCTTCCCAGAAAAAGTCTGCAAACCCTGCTATGGACACACCTTCCAACTGCAGGAGGTACCACCCAAGACCAAACTCACTGCCATCGAGTTGATGCTGACTCATAGTGACCCTACAGGACCAAGTACAACTGCCCCTGTGGGTTTCTGAGACTGTAACTCCTTCTTAAACTCTCCTGAGGAGCCGCTGGTGGTTTTGAACTGCTTATCTTGTGGATCACAGCCCAAAGAATAACCACTGTACCACCTGTGCTCCTGGAGGAGCTACTAACCCCTTCACCCCCCCAAAAAAAACGAATTCACTGCCATCAAGTCAGTGCTGACTCATAGTGACCCCCTGTGGGCTTCTGAGACTATCACTGTTTACAGGAGTAGAAAACCCCTGAGGAGCTGCTGGTGGTTTCGAACTGCTGACCATGTAGACTGCATACCAAGTCATAACCACTATGCCACCACAGGAGTAACAGGAGAATACTTACCTGGCAGGGGAGATACCATGATCACGAAGGTGGTTTTCCCAGGGCGAGGCTCACCCATTGCACTTTGGGTGTGCTGACCCCTGCGATTACCCCAAATGTGGGGAACTCGACTGCATAATTTGTGGTAGTGGGGGACTGCGTTCGCACTCTCCCCTGATTAGAGAGAGAGGGAAAAAAAAAGGAGTAACAGGAGAAGACAGAAGACTCATCCACATGGGCGGAGCATCCCATAAGACAACTGCCTAGTCCATTAAACAATATACAGTATTGTCATAAAAACAAAGACTGGATGAAGCTGGTTGTTTTATATCAGAGGAGTCCAAACGAGATACCACGCCAAATGCAATTGTGAACTTTGATTCGCATGAAACCAGTTGCCAAT